TTATTTATTTTTGTTTTCTTGTAACTAATAAGCAGTCTGAGAGGAAAAACTTTTTGTTTTTTTACTTTTTTCTAATTCATGTCTTTGTAAAAAATTTAAAAATATATAGGTAAGCTAAAGTTAGGGAAAAATTGTCTTATAAACCTAGACATAACCACATTTTGGTGTATATTGGTACATATCTTTTCTTTATGTTATAATAATAATAATAACCAAAAAGGACTATGCCTTAAACACTGTTTGGTAAATTGCTTTACTCATTTAGCAGTATGTTTTAAATATTTTTTTCATGTGTCACTAACTATATGATATTTTAATGGCTGCATAGTTTTCCATTATGTAACAGTCCCTTGCCTATAGATTATTCTGTGATGTTCAGTTTAGCCTCACATTCCAGGTACAAGAGATCCTTAATGGCTCTTCCCTAAGGCTTAGGGAATCTCTTATACCCAAAGGCCTCCAACCATGGAATCTTGATGTCTGTCTTTTCCCGTTAGCACGGCCATGTTGTTTTTCTTTTCCACTGTTCCATACTAACATACTATGTTCCTTTTTCTAACCATTCCTAGGTCCACAGTAGCACACTTTTATCATGTATTTAAACCTATTTCTGATTCACTTGGGATGTTTTCTTGCTTTAACTGCTAATGTTGTATCCGGATATCAATTTGTTTGTTTGTTTTATTGCGAATATATATGATTATGAGTTAAGTGAACTTTTATGGGGTAGTCTTTTGAGTAGAGCTTCTGGCCAAAATACCTTCATACCCACCAAAAACAAAAACACAAAATTTTTGGAGCAAAGTTTATCTTTTTATTTGGAACTTCTTTTTCTGTTACCTGAATTTCTAGTTAACCTATATTAATATTTTGGGTCAGGTATCTTAGGAGATCTCAGCGCTTGTCTATTAGAATTACTTAGCAAATTATTTTGAGTGAACTTACTATACAGAAGATAAAGCAAACCTCAAAATGCATTATTTTATAATTTTTCTCCCTTTAATACTTAATCATTTGAAAGTCTGTCTTCCCCTACACATTGTTTAGTTTTAAGCTGTTTAGGTATATTGGAAATATAAGCTCTCTGTGTAGGTGTGGGACAGTTTACCAATGAATCAGCCCATGCTTTCATAATTTAGTGCAATGTGACAAAATTATGTCTTGGAGATTTATGTGTAGAGTCTCTATTGACCGAAGGCAAGACAATTTTAACAATTTTAAGTGAATGAAGTAACTTTATTTTTAAACTTTTTTTTTTGAGACAGTGTCTCTCTCCGTCACTCAGGCTGGAGTGCAATGACGCAATCTCGGCTCACTGCAACCTCCACCTCACAGATTCAAGCGATTTCTCCTACCTCAGCCTCCCAGGAAGCTGGGATTACAGGTGCTTACCACCATGCCTAGCTAATTTTTTGTATTTTTAGTTGACATGGGGACGTAACGTCTGCGGTTTTATGGAGGACAATGTACATAGTGATACCCTGTCTCAAAAAATGTAAAAAATTAGCTGGGCGTGGTGACACATAACTGTAGTCCCAGCTACTCAGAAAGCTGAGGTGGTAGGATTGCTTGACCCCAGGAGTTGGAGGCTGCAGTGAGTTAAGATTGTGCCATGTGTTCCAGCATGCATGACAGAGCTAGACCCTGTCTCTTAAAGAAAATGGCTGCTGTGATGTTGGTAGTCACGTTGAAAGATTGTGTCATTTACAACACTAAGAAAAGTAAATAAAATATTAAAGCATATATTTGGTATATTTAATGTGAACTTTTCTGTGTGCAAAATATAGAAAGGTCTTTGAGGCACATACTAAAACAATAAACCCATGTCTCTGTCTTTTAGAACTTGTAATATTTTTACAGTATCATATAAGCCTCTCTGTTATACTTCAACATTATTAAATACTATTGACATGTACATTTTTAAATAGTCATTAAAAGTTTATTTGCTTTAAGGTATGCTTTGCTGTATTTTAAAATAAGTAATGGATTTTAATATGACCTTAATTTTCATGAAATGCATGAGTGACAATTTATTTAAAAAGCAGAGAAGGCCAGGTGCACTGGCTCACGCCTGTAATCCCAGCACTTTGGGAGGCCAAGGCCACGGATTATCTGAGGTCAGGAGTGCCAGACCAGCCTGGCCAGCATGGTGAAACCCTGTCTCTACTAAAAATTACAAAAAAGTAGCTAGGTGTGGTGACTTGTGCCTATAATCCCAGTCACTCAGGAGGCTGAGGCAGGAGAATTTGTTGAACCTGGGAGGCAGAGGTTGTAGTGAGCTGAGATCGTGCCATTGCACGCTAGCTTGGGCAACAAGGAAAATTCTGTCTCATTAAAAAAAAAAGCAGAGAAAATGTGATTTTTATTAATATTGTTCCTGGTCTGTATTACGTTTTTTAAAGTAATAGTAATGAAATTTATATTTTGATATGTAAAGTAAGTTAAAGATGTAACTCCTTTAACTATGAAATTAAAATCTTTTTCTTAGCACTAGGGGGCACCCCTGATTTATAAATTCATGTTATACTTAATCTTGCATAGAAAGTGGAGTGAAATGAAATTTTTGAAAAATATTTTATTACAAACTGAATTATTAGTTTTATTGTATAGCAGTATAAATATAAGTTGATTCTTCATAATGAAGCTTATAGAATGAGATAGTTTAGGTGGGAGGAAATTAAAGTATTTTTGTGCTTTATTCATTTTCACATTGATTTTTTTATGTGGGTGCTTTAAATGGTTTTAAAACTTGATGATTTTGAATATATTTCTGTTTTAAAAGTTCCAGCAAGTGTTCTGCTCTTGTCAGGTGCTTAGGCCATATCTGAATAAATGAAGATAAATTCAAGATGTGACTGAAGGCTGCTGTCATTAGTTACAATTTTTAAGCATTTCCAAACCAAGAGCATGTTTTGCTACATCTAGGAAACATATCTTAGCCATTCTCATTCATTGTGTTTGCAATTAGGATTTTTAGTGATGCTCAGCAACAATCGCTTGGCAAAGGTATATTTCTAAGGTTTTGTCTTCATTATTTAAGAGACTATTGAATTTCAGCTTTATGGGGATTAAGTAAATAGTAACATCTGCATCATCATTGCATTACATTAATAGCATATTTACCATGGCCCAACACTGTTGTAGGTATTGCATATATTAACTCATTTCTCTTCACCACAACTCTATGAAATAGGTAGTTCTTATTCTCCCATTTTATAGTTGAGAAAACTGAGTACAGAAAAGTTAAAATTTCCTGGGTTTACACACAGGTAGTGTGGTTCCAAAATTTGTGCTTTTAAATCACTGTATCCTGTATGGCTCCAGAGAAAGGAAAGTTAGCATTGAAGTAATTGATACTTAAAACTCAGTTTTTTGGTTTTTGTTTTTTGGTTTTTTTTGAGGCAGAGTTTCGCTCTTGTTACCCAGGCTGGAGTGCAGTGGCACGATCTCGGCTCACCGTAACCTTCACCTCTTGGGTTCAAGCAATTCTCCTGCCTCAGCCTCCCGAGTAGCTGGGACTACAGGCTCGCACCACCATGCCCAGCTAATTTTTGTATTTTTAGTAGAGACAGGGTTTCACCACATTGAACAGGATTGTCTCGATCTCTTGACCTCGTGATGCACCCACCTCGGCCTCCCAATGTGCTGGGATCATAGGCATGAGCCACCATGCCCGGCCTAAAACTCAGCTTTTAAAGAGAGCATAGAATACCTAATTTATAGACACATAACCATTTCACTTATGAAAAATATCATAGATCTTTAAAGTTGAAAAGAGATCTTAAAGTTTATTTACCTCTACCATTTTACAGAGAGGAAGAAATTCTGTCCTAGAGAGGTAAAGTTACCTACTCCGTTTATATGGGAGGTTATTTTCGAAAAGATATTAGAACTTCAAGTAAGTACTGTGACTTCCAGTAAAGTGGAAAGAAATACTGTGTTGTGGAAAGAATATTTGACTAGAATTTTGATGGCTTAAATCTTGTTCTTGGCTCCTTATTTACCATCCTGTGTCCACAGAGGCTCTGCGTTTCTTTGTGTTATGTGGGTCTGACATATCTTACCTAATTAGTGTTATTGGTAGTTGTGCAAATCAACATAATGTATTAATGATATTCAATAAACTTTAAAGTCCTATACAAGTAAACATAGTGTGTATCATGGTACAGTAAAGCCGCGATATCTGTGGGTTCTATATCTATGGATTCAAACAACTCTGAGTTGAAAATATTTGGGGCAAAAAAAAAGGATGGTTGCATCTGTACTGAACATATACAGACTTTTCCTTGCCATAATTCCTTAAACAATACAGTATAACAGCTATTTACTTAGCATTGACATTGTAGTAAGTGTTATGAGTAATCTGGAGATGATTTAAAGTATACAAGAGGATGTGTACAGGTGATATGCAAATGCTGCACCATTATGTAAGGGCCTTAAGCATCTGTGGATTTTGGTGTCTGTAGTGGATCCTGGAACAAATCCCCCATGGGTACTGAGAGATGGTTATATTTTTATGACATGTATTCCATAATATTTTAAGTATTTGTGATACCTTGGTCATCTAGATCACTAGCTGTGATAAGCCTATTCAGTACTGTTGATTTATGGGTGTCATTTGGATCACTAAAAATTTATTGTGTTGTGGTATGAGTTCCTTTGCCATGCGTTGTTTTACACATTTTATTTACTTAAAACTAAGAAATTTGTGCATTTGATTTTTTTCCCTCACAATACCCAGTTAGCAAAAAGTTATGCTTTTGCTTTGCTTATGAAGAACATAATAGTAACATCTATTGATGATACTGTTTTTCTGGTGTTTCTGATTGTTTGAAAATAGCATACAAGAGTGTCCTCAATCTGGATTCAGTGGCTTAGCTAAAATAATAAATAGAGTTTAGTGAAGTTGAAGTATTTTGTTTCTTGGTATGGTGGTAGGCATGGAGTTATTTTCTTAAACTTTGAGGAAGATACATGCTTAACCTTGTTATTTTTTACAGGAATAATGTATTTGTGGCCTTGGACATGAGGCAATCAGTCCTCTGTTGCTGTTAACATAAGGTCAGGGACTGATGAGGAAAGCATGGACCTAATGAACGGGCAGGCAAGCAACGTCAATATTGCAGCTACTGCTTCTGAGGTAAGACATTTCAGAAGCTTAGTTATAAAGTTTCTTACCTGACTTTCTAATTTCTCAAGCATTATGTTTGTTCATATACTTAAATCAGAAGTGCAACACATATTTTAACTTTTACTTTAGTGATTCATATGTTTGCTCTGCATCATAGAAATGCTCAATCCTTATCTACTTAACTTGAAAAATAATGATAAATAGTGGTAACTCATAAAACTCCTTAGTTTTAAAAGAAACATAGAATTTCTTTTTAGAGTATTTTTACATTACATCATATTTTGCTTTTGGTTTTGTTTTGAGATGGAGTCTTGATCTGTCTCCAGGCGCCAGGCTGGAGTGCAGTGGTGCGATCTCGGCTCACTGCAACCTCTGCCTCCCGGGTTCAAGCAATTCTGCCTCAGCCTCACGAGTAGCTGGGACTACCGGCACAAGCCACCACACCCAGCTAATTTTTGTATTTTTAGTAGAGATGGGGTTTCACCATGTTGGCCAGGATGGTCTCCATCTCTTGATCTTGTGATCTGCCCACCTCAGCCTCCCAAAGTGCTGGGATTACAGGCATGAGCCACTGCACCCGGCCTCTACATCACATCATATTTGAGGGCAATAATGCAAGTAAGGCAAAGAAAGATTCTTTTACTTGGAATCACTAAATTTTGGACACCATCCAGATCACTTGATTCCATGTATATTAGAGGAAACCAAAGAACTGTTAGGCTGGAATATTGAAAGGGCTTACTCTACTGATGTTGTTTAGCATTTAAGATGGAGATGTCAAGACTGAACTAGATGCTCACCCCTCTAGTTAATATATTATGATCGTATTTTTGCCCCAACTTTTTTCTTTTTTTCCTTTGTTTATAAATCTAGGGAACTTACCTGCTTTCCTTAATAAGTTCAGTATCTAGCTTCTATATTTCTTCTTTATCTTAGTATATTGGATGAGAATAATGTTTATGACCCTTGAACACCTTGATCTCAAAGTTCCTTAATAGCCTCAACTCCTTTTTGTTTCAGCCAGTTACTTAGGCCTTAATATCACTGAAAATATTCTAAGTCTATGGTTTCAATTGTTTTTCTTATGTAGATGATTTATTTATTTTTATCTCTAGCCCTGGCATCCTTCATGAATTTTATTAAGCATTTTTGATGGACCAGACATTGGTAATATCCACAAAATCAATCTTATTACTATTCTGCTTCACAACCATGAAGAAAATAGTCCAAGTCTTTTCTCTAACTTAACGTTAATAACATCACATTTCAATAGCCATCTAAGTTTAAATCTTTAGAGGGGTGTGTGTGTGTGTGTGTGTGTGTGTGTGTGTGTGTGTGTTTTGAGAGAGTTTCGCTTTTGTCATCTAGACTGGAGTGCAGTGATGTGATCTCAGCCCACTGCAACCTCTGCGTCCCGGGTTCAAGCGATTCTCCTGCCTCAGCCTCCCAGGTAGCTGGGATTACAGGTGCTCACCACCATGCCCAGCTAATTTTTGTATTTTTAGTAGAGATGGGGTTTCACCATGTTGGCCAGGCTGGTCTCAATCTCCTGACCTCAGGTGAGCTGCCCATGTCAGCCTTCCAGAGTGCTGGGATTATAGATGTGAGCCATTGCGGTCGACCGATGTGTTGTTAATTAACTTCATTTTGCCCACCACAACCGTTGTCTCATCATAGCAGAGAGAGTCCGCTAGCAAGACAGAGTTACAGTTTTATATAATGTGATCATGGAAATGACATCTCATCCCCTTTTCCGTATTCTACTGGTTAGAAAAGAAACAAGTCACAGGTCCTGCCCACACTCACGGGGAGAGAATCACACAGGGGTGAGAATACCAAGAGATAGAGATCTTTAGTAGCTATCTTAGAGCCTGTCCACTGTGCTTTATCTCTGGGATCCAGTACTTTTCTCCTTATTTCTATGACTATACTACCATCTTAGTTTGGTCATTGATTATTTCTTGTCTAGATTAGTGCCATGGCCTTTTAGTCTGGCTGTTGCACTTGTATTCTTTGTTGTTTCTGATCCTTCCACTGAAATTTAAGATTAGTATTCTTAAAATGCAACTCTTAAAGTTTATCTTTTCCCAGAAGAAGCCTTCTAATTAAATTCAAATGCCCCCTTGGCCTTTCATTCAAGACTTTCTTCAAAACGGCTCCAAATTTTTGGATTTAACCCCCTACTGATCCTCTGCTTGAAACTTAGATTCTTACGAGAGTATACTACATTTGCTGGTGTCTGTATGAACCATTACATTTTGCTGCTTCTGTCTTAACTTTGCCTAGACCAGTTTTTCTAGCTGGAATTTTTATTCCCATTCTAGTGTCCCCTCCCCATCACTGCACACACAAAAAATTTGTCTTTCAAACATATTTCAAATGCTGTGCTTTTAATAAACCCTCCTCTAATCCCTTAAACAGATGGGAGCTTTCCTATTTTTAAAACTATCACTTAGAAAAACCTCTTTCTATAATTTTTTTCTATAAATTTATACCTAGCGTTTTTTATATTTATAACCATAGGATTATGTTTATATGTTTGTAATATGTGTTTGTTTTCTTCATCTATTTATAACCATATTTCTTGAATGTGTTATATGTATGTATGTGTATGGTATGTTTTTAACTATATATCCGGAAATACCTGTTCTAGTATCATAGGAAGCAGAATACAAATATTTGGCAAATAAAAGATCATTTCACTTGTACGAACAATTCTGTTGACTTTTCTAAAAGTGAATGAAGTACATCAGGCGTCAGAGTATAGTATATTAGCCAGATGTAAAGTAAGAATGAAAATCTGCCCTTTAAATTGTCTGATTATTGTGGCAAGAAAACAAAATTAAAAAGCTGTGTTTTCCACCTTCTCTTAAAATACAGATCTAGTAAATTCAAGTACAAATTTCTTATAAAAGTGATAAGCTTACAGAATGAATAAAATACTTCATCTGGGTTGGCTGTCTTCTCTTTTCTCAGTACCTTTTATATTTAACTTGTGCTTGAAGTTTCTGTCAGTAGGAGAATTACAGTGAACTTGTTTTCAGACATTTAGAAGTATCAGTAGTTTTTGAGTCATGCCTTGAATGAATTACTGCTGTTTAATAAATGGTGTTGGGAAAACTGGCTAGCCATGTGCAGAAAGCAGAAACTGGACCCCTTCCTGACACCTTACACTAAAATTAACTCCAAATGGATTAAAGATCCAAACATAAGACCTAACACCATAAAAACCCTAGAAGAAAATCTAGGCAAAACCATTCAGGACATAGGCATAGGCAAGGACTTCATGATCAACACACCAAAAGCATTGGCAACAAAAGCCAAAATAGACAAATGGGACCTAATCAAACTCCACAGCTTCTGCATGGCAAAAGAAATAGTCGTTAGAGTGAATCGGCAACCAACAGAATGGGAAAAAATTTTTGCAGTTTACTGCTATTCTCTTACTGGACATTATTGCTTAGTGTCTCATTACCAATTTATTACTAGTATTAGGGAAGCACGTCAAAATGCACACTAGTAATTTTTTAAGCTGTAGTGGCTAAGAAGGAAAAAAGAAGTGTTTATTCTTTTTGATAAGCAATAAAATAGTCATAATAATTTACTAACTTGTCTTGAATGAGTTAAAAACTTGGAGAAAATTACTGATTTATATTTATGAGTCATGTATTCACCTGACAGAATGCATCTAGTTATTTGGACAGCTATTGGATTAGTGTATAGTGCTTAACTGATGTCTATTTCAATACTTAACATTATGAATAAAATTTTGTATTAGTTTTGGAACATAAAATAATGCTGTTGACACACTATAAACTAGTCATAGTTACAGAGATTAAACACAAGAAATAAAACATTTGAGGGACCTTAGGTTTCTGCTTGGATTCATTCACTGGAATTTAGATTTCTGCTCAGATTTCTAAAGAGCTTAGAATTCATTATTCCTGTCGTCACAATAGGAAAAAAGCTAAACAAACTGAAAATCAATAAATCCTCTTAGCTCTGTCAGAGAATTGGTATCACAGAAGCAAACTAATAGGGATGCCCTGAAACCTGGAGAGATAGGCATACAGAGAATCACCGCTTATAGGAGCAGAAGTCAGTGGAGCCACGTAAACTCTAATTGATGAACTCTGGAGACTGTGAACTAGCTTGGGAGTTAAAAGCTCCTGGGAGCTGTCTTAGGTTCTTCTCACTTTTTGTGATTTTTGTTATCTCTAGGATGCCAACCAGCTTCTCACAGTAAAGACAGAGAAAAATTCCCTTCTGCTTCTAGCAGGGGGAGAAGTAGCCATTTTGAAATACACCCAGATAGAAAGTAACCATATTGAAATATACCCAGAGCATTCTGTTCTCCACCTGCCCTCAAGGGAAGCTACTTCACCAGAGCTTAACCTGCTTGGGAGAGGAAAAATCTTCAACTTCAAGCCCCTCTAGACTTCCTGTTTCACCTAAGCAGAGTGAGGCCGGCAGAGAAGCATTTGTGAAGGTCACAGACTGAAACCTAATCATAGGAGTATAGGACACTCTCCCCCAGCACCCCGTCAAACACACACACACACACACACACACACACACACACACACACACACACCCCTCTTTACCTTACCGCATCACATCAGCAGGGTTCCTGTAGAATATTAAGATTTCATCTGAAAGAACTGCAAGGCTCAGATTGTGAGAAGGTATTTGTAGGGAAACCCAAAGACAACAGAGGATCCAAAAAAAAGGATACTAGAGGAAATTGAAGACGCAGACACCTGTAACAACACCAAATTATAAGCACAGCATAATGCCTAGCATGATGGACAAAACCTAAAACCTTACAGTAAAGGCCTATTCAATCTCAGTTCCTACTACCCAATATACAGTTTTTAGCTTTCAACAGAAAATTACAAGCCATGCTGAAAGGCAAGGAAAAAACACAGTCTGAAGAGATAAATCAAGCAACAGAACCACACTGATATGGCAGAGATTTCACAATTATCAGACTGGCAGTTAAAATAACTGCAATTAATATGCCAAGGCCTCTAATGGAAAAAAAAAAAAAAAGCGGACAACATGAGAACAAATGGTTAATATAAGCAGGGATCTTGAAACTCTTAAGAATCAAAAAGAAATGCTAGGATTCAAAAGCACTGTGACAAAAATGAAGAATGCCTTTGGGGAGCTAATCAATAGACTGGTGACCAACAGACAGCTAAGGAAAGAATCAGTGAGCTGGAAGGTATGTCAGTAAAACTTCTCAAACTGAAATGCAAAGAAAAAATAGAATGGAAAAAAGAAACAGAATAGCCCAGGACTGTGGGACAAAAGATGTAACATGTGTATAATGGGAACACCAGAAGGAGAGAAAGAAGCCGAAGAAATATTTGAAGTAATAATAGTTGAGAATTTTTCAAAATTAATGACAGGTCCCTTTCTTTGTAATGATCATGGCTCAATACTTGGTATGTAGCTGCTACTAAAAGGGGTGGAAAGCAAAAATGAGGTATAATGACAGGGGCTCAAAACTGACATATATAATAGCTGGTGGGTTGTTCTGTGTATACTGTGCTAATTGAAATGTTCGTTAATTTTTTTGCTGTTATCTGTAGCCTCATATTCTACCACCATTTAATAGAGCCTGATCTAAATATTCTTATATTGATGTTCCTCTGAATTTATCCAACTGATATAGAATATATTATTATGTCGTGGAGGTGAGGTGGAAAATTTTAACAGTAATAAGATTTTCAAGGTCAAAATTCACCTTTCAATCTTTGTATAGCCACAGCATATTCAAACTTAAAACTCATTTTTAAGCAGAGAAAACTTAAATTTATAATATGATAGGAGGAACAGTATTAATTGTACTATCACAGACAGATCCCTTAACTACGAATGGATCATATATAACTCTTTAATTAACAGCATTCTGAATATTTTCTAAGTTTTAAAGGTAATTTGTCTTTTTCGTAATAAAAATTAGTTTTAAAAATTTTAAGTAGTTGTAAAGACTTCTCCCCTGACTTCCCTTTACCTTATTTGAGAATCACTGAATTAGTTAAAATCATTTATTTTTATAGGAAATGATAGGCTGTCGGGATAAAGACAGACACACAAGGAAATGACTCATTCAAGAACCCAAAAATTTAAAATCACAGTTTTAGATTTCAAGTTGTCTGACCCTTTATCTGGTGCTCTAAGAACTAAGCAGTATGTTCCGCTCAGCTTTTCTGCAGCATTTGTTAACCTACTGTTTTGTTTTCTCAGTTTTTAAGGCCAGGCTAGTTTGTGTCACTTGACTGTGAGACAGTATTTAAAAGGCTGCATTTTCTTTCACTTTAACAGAAAAGTAGCAGCTCTGAATCCTTAAGTGACAAAGGTTCTGAATTGAAGAAAAGCTTTGATGCTGTGGTATTCGATGTTCTTAAGGTTACGCCAGAAGAATATGCGGTAAGCCTCCTACCTCTGCCTTCTCCGGTTTTGCACATAATTTGCATGTTAGTTCTATTGAGTTAGAATTTGTAGGTCCAGCAAAAGAGATGGCTTTTAAGAAGCTGGATATGAGAATTATTGGGGAAAGTAGTATAAATGTGGGGCAAACAGAGGGATAAAGTGGGAAAAGTAAGAAAAACTGTACCTTTTTTTTAGGGCAGCTTTATAAGTTACACTTCAATTTGGTAAGTAACAGTACGTAATTACCATTATGGTAATTGTTTTCATCCCTCTATACCATTTCTCTAAGCCAACTGTATTTTAATTGACATATCTAAGAGCTGGGCATGGTGGCTCACGCCTGTAATCCTAGCACTTTGGGAGGCCGAGGTGGGTGATCACCTGAGGCCAGGAGTTCAAAACCGGCCTGGCCATCGTGGTGAAACCCCATCTTTATTTAAAAAAAAAAAAAAAAGTTAAAAAAAAAAAAGACATATCTAAGAAACATTTTCGCTCTTTTTTAATTAAACAATTGAAACATGAAATGTCAAGGTGTTATTGCAACATTATGAAAGGTATCTAGAAAAACATTTCTTAACTAACATAAATATATTTGTTTTCTCATTCTTTTTTAATTTGTTAGCAGAATATATTGATTTCCTAATGTTAAGCCACTCCTGCATTCCAGAGATTAAACCGTGCTTGGTCATAGCATATTATTTTCTTGATATTGTTGAATTTTGTTGTATATCTATAGCCGTAAGTGGGATAGGTCCATGACATATAAAGCCCTGAGATATAATGTGTTGGCTTCCGTGTAGTTTCGTTACTTATTTATAAGTTAGGAAGAAAAACTTTTTAGTAATAATCCGATGTTACACCACTGAGGAGCTGTAATTTAATCATCATAACAAGAACACTGCTGCATGAACTAATAAATATGGTTTTATTTTTTGATTATAATTTAATGTGACTGTCCAAATTTTAAAATTATTTTTATTTTTTAACTTTACATAATTTATCTTCCAAAAAAATACAAATAGACATTAGATAATTAGAAATAATTTTATTTAATGGTACAGGGGCTACATGTTATTTTCTATAAGCCCTTATAAAAATTGAGTATTCAGTAATAATTTTAGTATAGAATATAATTTTAATTTAGGTTACATTTCTTGGTATAGCATTCCAAAGAAGAAATTGTCATTTTTACTTTTTATTTCAGGGTCAGATAACATTAATGGATGTTCCAGTATTTAAAGCTATTCAACCAGATGTAAGTAGTTTTGAGAATGTTCCTTATTTTTAAGTATAGAAAACGATCAATCTCAAATTAAGATGTTTTAGAAATGTTAAATTATACTTCATATTAATTTTTAGATGTTTGAAACTTATATTATAACTTATATACATATTATCTGAGCCTCAGAAACCCATGTGGCATTCTTAGCAATACATCACTGAGTCATAAATGTGACTATACTTGACCCTTGAACAAAGCACAGGTTAGTAGCACTGACCCTTGCTCGGTGACAACTCAGTCTATGACTTTTGCTTCCCTACAAACTTAACTACAAATAGCCTGCTGTTGACCAAAAAGCCTTACTGGTAACATAAACAATCAACTAACACGTATTTTGTATGTTATATATATTGTATACTGGGTTCTTACAATAAATTAGCGAGAAAATGTTACTTAAGAAAATCATAAGAAAGAGAAAATATATTTATTATTCATTAAGTGGAAGTGGATCATCATAAAGGTCTGGTCTTTGTCCTCATTATCCTCCCATGGAGTAGGCTGAGAAAGAATAGATTTGTTCTGCTATCTCAGGGGTGGTAGAGGTGGAAGAAAGTCTGTGTATAAGTAGACCCATGTATTGTTTATAGGTTAGCTGTATTTGAATCATTTTTGTTGATTTGGCTTCATTACTTACTGGAGGAAATAGACTTAGGGAAGTTGAATGATTAACCTATTGCTTTGAAGCTTTTTTAATGGGAAGATGGAAATTTGAAACTGGGTTTCACCACTAACTCTAGTAAACTTTTCCCTTACATCTTTATTTTATGACTTCATATGATTGTGTTAACGTTTTGGAGAGAAGAGAAAAGATAAAGAAACACATCATTTGTTTTTAGCAAAAACAAAGGGACTAACATTATGCATCTATTCACTGTAAGGATGTAGTATGTGTGTGTATAGTTTTCCTATCATTTTCACATTCTGAGTATGATGGTATCTCTGTTTTACTGACGAGGAAACAGAGTGATAATTGTCTTTGGTACACAACTAAGTGGTGGAACTGGGTTTCAGACTCTAAAATCTGATTCTTTTTTTTCTTAACCTCTTATGTAGTAAGAATATCAATGTGATTTTGTATCCCAAAACAAAGTCATTGATAATCCTGAAATTCAATACTATAAAATAGATACTGTTTTAGTTCTTTTGGGAACAAAATATAGTATATTCATTGTGGTGTATATACAAGTTTATAGTAGCCCTGAACACTATAATGAGTATGAGTTTCTATGTATGTCCTATGTGATTTAGGCAGTATTAGTCCTGTGATTTTCAAATAAGTTACTTACTGTCTTAGTATCTCCAGTTCAGTTCCTATAAATGAAGGGGTAGGAAATGATCTCTTAGACTCCATCATTTCCACAATTCTGTGTTTTCCTAACTTTTCCCCCATACCACAGAGGGCTCTTTAAATAGAACCATTGGATTAGCAGTAAAAGAACAATGTATTCTGTAAATGAACAAATAAAAATGACTTTTGTATTTAAATTGAAAAAAAAAACCCAGAAATATTTATTTCCTCACCTCTCTGAAAAAAAATTTTTTTTAAATGAAATTCTTTATGCAAATTACATTTTTTGGCCTGAAATTCAGCTGTCTTCTCCTTAGACATATTTTTCCTTTTGAATGAACTGCAACAATTGTATTGCTGCTTTATATGAGATCACTACTGTCCAGTAGAAATACATATTTAGTTTCTAGTACCCATATTATGAGGTAAAAGGAAGATGAAATTGAATTTAATGATTTTATTTAACCTGCTACATACAAAATATTATTTCAACTTGTAATCAGTGTAAACAATTAGTGAGATATCTTACATTCTTTTTTCTCTGCTAAGCCTTCAAATCCAACATATACAACAATTACAGTACATCTTTATTTGAAGTAGCTATATTTCAAGTGCTTAGTAGCCACCGGTGGCTAGGAGCTTGGATATTGAAGATCCAGATAATAATACTTGAAGACATAAAATTCACATCTATGGGAATTTTTTATTCCCTTGGGGCATCTGACCAATGTACTTTGTGAAACTTAGAAATGAACCTTAAAATTCCCTTGGCCTTTACTCCACTTATCTTATCCCATTGATTTTTTTTAACCCCTTAAGTATCTTATCAGTCCAGTCTGCCTCTACTCCCAACACCCCAATGTAAGATACCGTCTTCTCTCAAGTGAATTATTGCAGTGACCTCTTACTTGATCTACCTGCATTTACTCTGACCCCTCTAAATGCTTTTTTAGATTGCCAGTAGCCATGATAATCTTTTCGGCATATGTATTTGTTCATGTGATCGCTCTGCTTGAAACACCTCATTGGCTTCCTGTTGCTCTGATGATAAAGAACCATCTTAATGTGATTTGTAGATCTGTTTGCAGTTCTACCTTTTTCTACCTTCTACAATCCCATCTCACATCTTTCCTCTCTCTTTCTGGTCTAATATACGCAAGCCTTCCTTTAGCCCCTCTCACCACTGAGCCTGTGCATATCCTAATTGACTCCTATCCATCTTTCAGTTCTCAGCTCTAGTTTGACTTTCTGAGGCAAGGCTTTTTTTGTCTTTCTACAGGGTCACCTAGCACTCTGCTTTTTCACTGGACTTGTCAATTGGAGTTTAACATTTGTGTTGTGATTCAACAGATACTTACTGAATGCCTACTCTATGCCTATTATATGTGATTTTTTAGATCTAGTTTAGTTGCTGAAGGTACAGCAGTGAGCAAACACTAAAATTCCTGCCTTCCTGGATCTGATATTTGAGTGAGGTGAGCTAGACTGTGTCATGAAAAACGTAAAGCAGAGAGAAGAGAATAGGAAATGTGAGGGTAGTGGATGAAACTTTAATTAGGATGATTAGGAAGACCTTACTAAGAAGATGACATCTGAGTTAAGACCTAAAGGAGGTGAGAGAGCAAGCCATGTGGGTGTTGGGGGAAATAGTGTTCCAGGCAAATGGAAAGCCAGGGCAAAGGCCAGTGAGCTACAGTGAGTGAGCAAAGGAGGGAATGTACTGGAAGATGAGAGGTAGGGTGAGGGCTAGATGGGGTGGGACCCTGAGCATGATTGTGAAAACGATGGGAAGCCATTAGAGGGTTGTGAGCAGAGAAGTGAAATTTTCTGTGTTAGGTTTTAAGTAGCTCGCTCTTTTCCTTTCTTTCTTGCCTGCCTGCCTGCCTGCCTTCCTTGCTTCCTTCCTTCCTTCTTCCCTCCCTCCCTCTCTCTCTCCTTCCTTCCTTCCTTTTCTCCTTTCATCCTGTCCTGTCCTCCCTCCCTCCCTCCCTCCCTCCTTCTCTCCCTCTCTCTCCCCCTCTCTCCCTCCGTCCCTCCCTTCCTCCCCCCTTTCTCTCTTTCTTTCTTTCTTTTCTTTTTTTTCTTTCTTTCACAATCTTGCTTTGTCACCCATGCTGGAATGCTGCAGTGGTATGATCTCAGCTCACTCCTACTTCCACCTCCCGGGTTCAAGCGATTCTCCTACCTCAGCCTCCCTAGTCCCTAGGACTACAGGCGCGTGCCACCACACCCAACTAATTTTTGTATTTTTAATAGAGACAGGGTTTCACCGTGTTGGCCAGGCTGGTCTCAAACTCCTGGCCTCAAGTGATCCGCCCACCTCGGCCTCTCTCAAAATGCTGGCATTACAGGCGTGGGCCACTGCACCTGGCCTTAAGTAGCTCTTTCAGACTGCTGATTAGGGTATGTGGCAAAGTAAGCATAGGGCAAGAAGAGGTGGGGTACCAAGGACTGAATCAAGGAGACCAGGTGAAAGATAAAGGTGGCTTAGATCAGGGTGGGAATGGAAGAGATAATGAGAAGTTGCCAGACATTGTATGTGAAACAAGAGTCAAGTATGACACCAAGGTTTTTGGCCTGAAGCCAGATGCATGTAGTTGATACTCTCTGGGATGAAAAATTATTGTTGTCCTCTACAACTCTTAGGGGTGCTATTCATTTAAAATACAATGTATAATGCACGCTTGTGAGAAAGGCTAGAGGAACAGATTTTGAGGCAAGAGCAAGAGTTTGGCTTTGGACATATTTAACATGCCTGTTAGACAGCCAAGGAGAAAGTTGAGTTAAGGAATATATACTGAGGCCGGGCGCGGTGGCTCAAGCCTATGATCCCAGCACTTTGGGAGGCTGAGGCGGGTGGATCACAAGGTCAAGAGATTGAGACCATCCTGGTCAACATGGTGAAACCCCGTCTCTACTAAAAATACAAAAAATTAACTGGGCATGGTGGCGCGTGCCTGTAATCCCAGCTACTCAGGAGGCTGAGGCAGGAGAATTGCCTGAACCCAGGAGGCAGAGGTTGCGGTGAGCCGAGATCGCACCATTGCACTCCAGCCTGGGTAATAAGAACAAAATTCCATCTCAAAAAAAAAAAAAAAAACGGAATATATACTGGCATATGTTTCCAATCCAGTCTAGAAATATAAGTTTGGAAGATGTCAGTGTAGAGGTAGTATTTAAAAGTGTGGGTGAGATTTTCAAGAGAGTGAATACAGATACTTGATTTGATCGCCTCTGCACTGGATTTTAAGCTATGTGAGGGCTTCCTGTTGCTCTGAGAATAAGGAACCATCTTAATGTGGTTTGTAAATCTCTTCACAGTTTTACGTTTTCTACCTTCTGCAACCTCAACTTTTGCTTACAGTTTTATCCAACTGGCACAGAGTGGAAGCTCAACATTTAGAATGAGAAGATTAACATAGTGTTTAGTAAATGTTTTTGCCCAGTGAGAGAATGTTTTTAAAAATTGACAGCAGTAACTATTGGAAGAAATGGTGTAGCACCAAAATACTTTTAGGTGTTTTTTGGAGACAGGGTCTGACTCTGTTCCCCAGGCTGTAGTGCAGTGGTGCAATAACAAGTCACTGCAGCCGGGACCTCCCAGGCCCAAGCGATCCTCCCACCTCAGCCTCCCCAACTAGCTGGGACCATACGAATGTGCCACCATGCCTGGCTAATTTTTTAT